AAACCGGCTTATCTCGGAGGACCACCATGACCGACTTATGCGGTGTTGTGATGCGACAAACATAAGAATAGACTTGTGCTACGCTAGCATAATTAAGATATATAATTTTGCTTTGATACGTAGTCTAGAAATTATGATGGACATAGACTGTTAATGAGAACGACCCACGGTCCAAAGTAAAGTGCCCTTAATATTTTTGCGCCAGCGAAATTGAAATTTATATTGACTTGTACTATGCTAATACAATCAGATATGCAATTATATATCGTTTGGCTAACTAATACGAATGTAAATGTTAATTTTTTTCTGTTTTGACCAAAATAGTTTTTTTTTTCCATTTTATTTTTCTCGTGATTATTTTTAGAAAGTATTATTTTAGCACAATGCTAATACAACTTAGCACAATTAAAGAAATTCTAAAGATCGAAAAATAAGGGCTGGCAAAAAAGCCGTTTTTCATTTTTCTCGTGCATTTTTTGTATTACAAATTTATCATTCGAGTAAAATATAGCAAATCAAATCTAACACAAATCAGCACAATTATCGAAATAAATAAATTCGAAAAGTGGGAGGCTAACTTCTTACACGCAGATTTCGGTAATGTAAACGCGAACTATCCGAAAATCATGCGACTGATCAAACATCTCTCCAACCAATCTCTTGACGATAGATAGATCATTTTTCATCGATGTGATCCCAAAATCATGCGATATATAAACAATAAATGCGACATGCGCTTATGCGATACTTGTTCTAATTACACTGAGCAAACGTCTCGAAACCTCGCCAGTGTTGTGTTAGTTCGCGCTTTAGGACAATTTTGGACAGTATTCGGTGTACAAGTGTAAGTAAACAACGTACGTCTCCACATGAGAGTGGAGTAGTGAGTATATAGGTAATTGATTCTATCTGCAAACTGTGCACACTGCGCGATTTATGCTCAGCGACGATTGCGTAACTTTTTTTCTTAATATTTTGTTGGGGGGAATTATTTCATGCCGATGTTACGAAAGGTTTAATCGTGTCCGCTTGTAGCGCGTACTGTGCTCGATTTAAGGGCTCGTGTTAACGCGCATTAATCTTCGTTATGATCGGCGCTCTAAGCTCTCCCATAAAGTAAGTGGAAATAAACGGGTAAATATAGTTTGCAGGTGCAACCTTCGATATTACTCTGCGGGTTTGTGGTTATTGCGCCAGTTGGAAGCGGTGACTGCTTGCTGTACGTTTCGATTATCGTTTCGTCTCTAACCGGCGAGACGTGTAATTTTTAAGGTAGACAATCCGCAACGATCGCGACGCCGTGTCGTTCTTGAGCGCAAAACTTCACGAACAGGCGGATTCGCATCCGCCGAGGAGACGCGTATTAGCGTCTACGAAGGACACGCCACATCCTTGAAGCCATCTGCGACTCAGCCGGAAAAATATCTGGCGGGATACTTTGCGCTCGACGTGTTGGAGTTTAAGGATAACGACTGGCGCCGCCATAAAAAAAAATGAGAAGAAAAGGAAACTCTCCCCCTCTCCCCTACCTAGATTCTCCTCGGCGCCAACCGTCGGCTGAAACTTTGACATTCGAATTTTCGCCGATCTTATCTAACTTTTGTACATTCGACATTTCTTTTCTCTTCTTTTTCTTTTTATTTTATTATTTTTTGAACGAAGGCACAGGTCGATTATATATATGTATATGTATCTTGATTGCGGGGGAGGACGAAAAAGTATCCCCGAATAATGTGAGAATCCGTTGTTTCTGTTGTTACATAGTCGCATTCGAGACACGCATTTGAAACACGCGAAAAATGAACGTTTTAGGAACCGGTCCGCGTTTAGGAAATTGTTTGCTGTAGACCGGTTCGTTGATTTCGATTATCTTAACCCGAGTCGAACCAAGTTTTCGTGTTCGCGATGAAACGGTGAGAAAAAGGAGATTTCGCGTTAGCGAGTATCATCGGCCGCTATTACGGAATCTATCTTGGATAATGAAATTTTTAGATAGTTGCTTTTTTCTATTGGCCACTGATATTTGATTCTGACTTTTACATGTGCGATGTGTGTGTATTTGTGTGTGTGTGTTATATATTAATATTCGGAAAAGCCACATTGAATAAACTCATTTTCTAGCAATATTTAGGAACTAATCTCGACGAACTATCGACCGATCGCCCTGCCAAAATTTTTCCCGCTCGTTTGAACTAAGCAAACAAACAGGCAAACTGTAGATAAATTAGTTAAGAAACGTTGAACTTCTGATTACTGGACTGTGCGGTTGTTATTAGAATTCCGAACAATCTCGGGCACGTGACAAGTTTATATATAGACTTACGTCTCCGACATAATTAGTACTTATCACGCGTCTGGAGACAATTTTCTTGGCTCTTGCCGGTCAATAGGTCAAGCGTTGTTTCACGCGTTAATTTTAATGCCACGTCAAGCGCAGAAGGTGCGTCTTTGATCTTCGTCGAGAAGAAGCTCTCTCGCCGACGGGAATAGAAATTGCTCCCTCTCTCTCTCTCCCTCTTTGTCCCTCCTTTTCTTTCCTTCCCCTTTCTTTCCTCACATGCTTTCGCTCCGACTATTACATTTCCCGCGAGGAATTGTCCGCAAACCTTAATGGAGGCTGCGGCGACTAACCATCGTCGCCTTCGTCGTTGTTGTCGTCATCGTCATTGGCGCTTCTCTCGTTTATTTTACTTTACGTATATAGGCGAATAACTACGCGGCGTGGCACGTCGGGACACCGCTATCAATCGGCGCTCAGCGGTATTGATTTCGAGGGAAAACCGACTCGAGGCGCCCCGGTAATTCGAGACTCCCGTACCTGTTCGCGATGAGCCTTTTTTTCTCTCCTTCTCTCTCTCTCTCTCTCTCTCTCTCTCTCTATATATATATATATATATATTTCCAGGAATTTCGGCTGGGAGCAGCGGCTCCGCCAAAAATGTCACATTTCGATCGGCCGATCGGAAAACCTCATCTTTGAGCGTCGTCGCGAAAGCAACGCTCATTTGTTCTACACGAATCAAAATGAGTTTTCCAGGTAGAATCGCACGCTGATCCGCGCTCGCCGCTAGTCGGATTCATCGTTGGTGTGCACCGTTTGGTGCAACCGCACTGGACGACGGATATAGGTAGCGCGACGCGAAACCATTTAATCCTTCAGGCTGGATTACATCCGCTCGCTACTACGAACTTGATGTATATATCTCATCGAAGCTATTATTTATGAGTATCACGCTCGCGCGAGGCAAAGCGCGTATGTGTGCAAGATAATAATTTCGAGAGATAGAGGAAACTCGTACGTAAGATATTACATAATTTTTATCTATTATATATCGAATTAACACTCTCTCTATGCGTCGATTACATCAAAATAATAACGATGTTTTTTTTAGCGCTACGCCGGATTGCGCATCGGACTACAACATAGCACAATTTCGGATTCGCGCAGTTCGTTCTCGGCAACACGAAGACACGAAGGTTCGGTCGTCGTGTTTAATATTAGTCGCTCTACAAAGCGCTGCCTTTCCTCGTGTTATTCTAACGAGTAAACGATTGTCCCGGACAATTGCTGCTTCCTTGAAACTCTCTATCTACGCAATGCGCGATAACGTTTCGTAACGTGTCACACACGGTTCATAATAAACCAGCGGCTCTTTTTGGCCCGGTGGAAGATAATACGCGCTATATAATTTACGAGCTATTAAACAATTTTACGGTATTATCTCCTGAAGTAGACCATCTAACGCGCCGGTGGCGAAAATCTCGTCGCGATAAATCTACGACGATTTAAGTTCGTGGACCTATGCGTTTCTTACTCTTCGCGCCTTATCGCAAAATCGTTATTTGCGATGTAAATGCTTGATACTTGACACTTACGTCGTCATAATATTAGCTCCAAAAAGAGGTCGGTCGACCGACAATGTGAAGACATCTTATCGGAGTTGGGTTTTGATTCCCGATACATGATAATCTCTGTATCAATCAATCGAGAGACAGCTGTATTTTTGCTGACGAATCGATATTTCCTACTATCGCGAGAGGCTGCGTTAGATCTCGTTCGTCAACGTTGTCTCTGTTGGCTTCCGCTTGTGTCTCTGTGATAACTTTTTCTCTGATAAGCGCCTTTTCTAACGATCGGTCGGCGTAGTTGGTCGTAATCAACTGATATCGTGGCATGATTCAAGGAGAGAAAGAGAAAGAGAGGATGGATATACGACAAGTTTCGGATTGATTTGTATGAAGTGTAAAAATAACCGCATGTGCCTTATTAGAGCGCAGAGTCTTTATTTAGAATCGTTTCAACGTCGCGTGTGATACTGACACGGGTTGATAACGCCACTCGACTCGGGATTCTTATCAGTCGTCGTAGGTCGATAGAAAAATTGAGAAAGCCTCCGACTTCGTTTCTGGAAGCGAAGCACCTAATGCACACGAATTTTCCGCGGACTATACACAAACACACACGGTGTACATAAATTAAAGGCGGGACGCGGAGAGGTCTGGTCGACCCCGTTCCAGATTCCGGCTGAATATTTCCATCGGCCGCGCGTCGATGTTATTTATCGCGTTATCTCACGAGACTTGCGCGATCGCCTCGCGAGCTGCGCAGAATTTCTCGGATGATTCAGTGCCGTCGACGAGACGCGCGACGTTTCGCCTCTCGAGGACGCTGACGATGCATAGAAAATTCTACTCTATGTTTGGTCGTATCACCGTCGGTCAGCCGGCCAGGAGAAGCGATTCGTCAGATACGCGATTCGCCCGATCGTCGATCGTTCCCTATTAAGTCGGACGATGTTCCATTAAGACTCGGATTTCGCGGCTATCTTTAGACGACGATATAAATATAGTGCGAAAACGACGGCGCGCGTGTGACGATGCCTTTTTAACGCTTCAGCGCCATCCGTCGAGATAAAAAAAGGGGGAGAGAGAGGGGGGGGGAGATTCTCGGCGACAGCGTGTAACATTCGTTTTCTCCTTACGTCGTTGCGAGAATTGCGTCTTCTAACGTCGGCAAGGTCGTAATGGGATCTCGGATATGACGAGTGAAACTATCTTGCATAAACTGTCGCGGTGACGAATTATCACGTATCGACGTAGTCTATATTTAAAGACGTATTTTATACACGTTATAGCGGAGAGATTATTGCTTCTCAAGACGTAACGGTGTCTCAACGCGAAGCGTTGTATGTCTGTCGTAAACTCGACGTAATTGTGATATCACACGATGTCGCGCAGAACGTTGCGTCAAGCCGTGCGTACGAAAATTGCGAGCGCTTTTCGAATCATCCTCCTAAAGAAGAGCCGACGATTAATTGTTAGCGAATGACTCGTCTATATTTACCGCGCGCGATGTATCGTCCGGGCATCAATTACTCACTGTGTGGCGCGACACAGGGGAGTCAAACGCGCGCGCGTCAAACAATACTAATAGTCCGTGGTAGTTTACCCGCTCGACGCACGTGCGACGTCGATAATTTACGGATGCGTAATAGACTTGGTGCGTGCGACGAACGCTCGCGCGACGAGCGAATTGTCTTTCGGAGTGCAGGCGAAACTTGGTCGCGACGCAAAGGGCGTAACAACCGCGACGTTACCTGGATCGCGGCTGCTATCATCTCTCTCGGCTGTCGAGGTTTCCGTTTCCGTCGCTTCCCCAATACCGGGACGATACATTATTACGACGCGGTGTTCGCGGTATTGGAACGCGCCCGCGACGTGTAAAAAGCTCGCTAATTGTGCGCTCGCGTGCAAACAAGCAAGCGGCTTTACGAATGACAATTCTCGTATTTGCCGTAAATAACGGTTATATTAATTGCAATAAATGAGCGGTACGCGATATTGTTACTCAATTGCCGTTACTTCCCGGCTCGATTTCCGCGTGAAACGCGCGACACCACCCACCGCCGTTAGTTCGATTGACTGAATGAAACGATGGAAATGTTAATGTCGATAAGTGGCGCTTTCGCGCGGCGACGAGAAAATACCAACGTACCAACGCGCGAAATGTATATTAATAGCTTCGATGCTGTGAATAATATCGACGATGAGGTATCGTTAATGAGCGCGTACGTGCGATAATGATCGAATTTTTCACGTCGTAATCGCATTCAAATTAAGACTCGCAATTTTCCGTGCCAATCTGCGGCTTCCACCAATGGATCGCGGCCAAAATACGTTTGATTAACGCGATTGGATCAGCTGCTTTCTGTTTAATACAACAAGCGGATCAAGAGAGAGCTGGTTTAATCACGATCAGTTCGTTTGAATACGAGAATATTCTAACATTTTTGCTTCTTCCAGTGCCATCGTAAGAGAAAAAGAAAAGCAAAGAAAAAGATATCGAAAGAGGGACCAACGCGGCTCGTAAATTGGCGGTTAAATAAAAATTCGCGTGACATTAGACGCGACGACACGCACGGGTCTAGAACTGAGCTCCACGCGAGAGAGAGAGAGAGAGAGAGAGTTTTCCTCGAGCAGGACTTTGACTCGTTGCTGCAGTGCAGTGCACACCGAACGATTGAGTAATCGTGTAGCGTCGCGACAAGCTGCGCGCGCGCGCGCTATTATTAGGGTATAGCGCGTGACGCGCGCTTCCACGCGAGAAAAGATTGTAGCGAGAACGCCCGCCGACCAAGAGAGAGAAAGAGAGAGTTCGCCGTTTTATTAATATAATAAACCGTTTTTGAGGCGGACTGAATCACCTCGTCTGGATCGCACTCGCCGGTCGGCATCCCGACGCAATTGGAATAATCGCGCGTGTCTGCCGGCGTACGTGCATCGTTGACCGCGATGCGTACGCAACACGTGTGCAACGACGCGAGTCTAATGGCTCGTGACGTGCGATCGCGGATATCTGCTCGCTGACCGGGCCGATCTGACGCTCGAACTTTAACCCCTCCGCGGCTGCTCGCGAGACACAAGAGAGTTCCCCGATTTAATTATCGCGATTCGCCCGGTGTCGGTTGCGATCAATTCATCGTTGCTAAGTCGATTAAACTCGAGCGGGTAAATTGGTGGCGACTCTTGTTTTTTTTTTGTTCTCGTTTCTTTCGGTGTCCCCCGATCGTTCGTGCGAAGACAGAACTCGGGGAATTGCGTCGCAAGTGCAATCTGTTTTAGCCGCCGTTGCCCACCGATGATACGCTGCTGTCTGCTATCGATTACGTCCCGACGCGATATTACACTCGAGAGATATCTCACGGCTAACGGGAATTTCGATCTAATGAGCGGTATTAAAGAATAAAGATTGACGGAATTCGCCGTTGGGCGTACAGACATTAGATGATCGTTTATTTTCAGAGTGGCGAAAGTAAGTTCGGGTTCGTTATAAATTTCGCCGAGATGCGGATATAAAATCGGACGTATTGTATCCGTCGAAGCACTGGACTTTCGGATTCGCGAGTACTTCGAAAATAAACAACTCGCGGCCGTAAAAACGTGCCGCGCGCGAGCTCGAGAAAAGAAAAGTGCCGAAGTGTCCTGCGTGATTCGACATGCACATATGTACGACGCGCCCCGTATGAACTTATCGGGCGCAGGTCGAACCCATGAAATTATTGCGCGCGGCGCCGCCCACATCCTCATGAATAATGCACGTGGCCGATGGCGCGAGCGGAACGGAAGCTTTTACCTCGACGGAAATATACGTTGGATAGGTAGGTATAATGTCGCTCCAGGATGGGAACACCGTCGTCGTGTAATCCCTCTCATATTTATAGCGCGGTCCAGCACGGTCGCGGTTACGCGAATTCCACCGCCGCTTCAATCGTTTCCTCGTTCGCCGTCGACACAGGCCTTGAGCCGAATAAGTTTCTAGATATCTTACGAGCCGGACGAGCGCGAGTCACTGATCGATTGGTGTCGCCTGTTGTAGACGGGATCCCTCACGAGATCCCTGTTAGCGACTTTATGCTTGAAAAAATGAAGGGGGAAACAAGAATTTTCCTTGGAATTCCAGAGAGAACGTTTTTCCATAAATTTCAATCTGTAACATCGCGTATCGGGTAGTCGGCGATTCAGTGCTAATTTTGTGAAGAGCGATCGAGAAGCGATGTTCGTTGGTAAAAGATGGAACCTCCGTTGACTCGAGTATTTTTTTAAGCACCTTGTATATACACAGGAATTTCGTGACGTCCGTTCCGTAAATCTTTGCAACGGTGACACTTTTTATCTCGCCGCGTTATTAGGATCGTAAAATGGCGCTATTATTAATACGTACTTTCTCTACATGAAGCGTTAATACGCGACGTCCCTTACATTTACATTAATGGACTACGGTGACGTCGTGTACGCGCGCATTACAAATAAATTGTTTTAAATCCACGTGTGTAAAGTTCTTGTAAAATATTCCTCGTTCAAGTAACCACACATGTTGCAACGAATGTGTTAACTCGATGTGCAATGCGATTGTCGCGAAAATTGTACAAACGCTGTGTAAATCTCTCGTATTAATTTTAATGGCATATGTTGCGATGAATTCAGAGTCGGTTTGCTCGAAACAACGCGGTCCGGCGATGGTTGTCGACATATAATCGATCGAAAGGTAAAGGTCTTTGGTAAACAGGCAGTTGCTGAGGCGTAATTGAATAATCGAATCTCGTTACTTACAACCTGTGTTCAAGAAGGAATCTCGCCGCGTGAAAATTATGATTAGCGGTTTCTAATTACCCCGCGACATTCTACCGAATATTAAAAACTCACGACGTCGTTGAGACAGGGTCGGAAGTTCAGGGACTGCCGTGAGTTCGATGTCGAGACAGACACACTCGCTCACGAACCGCGGTGATCTCCTTCCTCCTTATTATTTTCAACAACGTTCTTCGTGTGGTTTCTCCGCGCCCCACTCCCTTCGCCCTTCGATACAAGGTAAACGAGCTTCTCTCGCGGCTTTATGATTGCTTATTCGCGGCGCGTTATGACGGTTATTCCTGCGAACAACCGTGTTCCGGCACAGCGCGGATATAACATTATATATATCCGTCTTTTTATTCTTTTTCATATACCTTCTTTCCTCCACTCGTCGTGTTATATATGTATAGGTGCCCTCTTTTGTTTTTTATACTATGCTAATTTTACGAATCTCATTTCTGAGTGACGCCGCTACTCATGAAATTTTCAAGGGACTCACGTACACAGCGTGTTCAGCCTTTACCGTGTCGATTGTACACAATACATTTTTCTTTTCGCTCTCAATTGATATTTCCCTCGTTTTCCGCTTTGTAATGTCGATCTGCGAAAAGTATATTTTTCGCGTTGCGACGTTCTTAATGATTTAGTACTCACTCGAGATATAAGTTCACAACGGCTCGTCGAATCTTACACTCGTATGTAATGCGATACCTTATATGTATGAATGGGGCTTTTAATGAAGAATATTTTATGTTTTCTCATTGATGGCCCTACACCGGCGTGTTCCCTTGATACGACGTATGACGTTATTGCGGAAACTGTCACTTTAACTTCTCGGTGTCTGTACAACACACTCGCAGTGTTGAGAGCGAGCAAATTACGTCAAAGTTAATTACGCCTTCCTCGTTACGCGCACGTTAATCACGCATCGACGAGCTCCGGCTCTTAGAATACGCCCCAAGAGACGTCTTTCATGGTGGCCGCAATATTAACCTGTTTACATAATGGGAACGACGTCAACCTAACTTAACGCGATACGGCGTGATTAATTCCTTCTTATTTTCTCTCTTTTCGCGACAAAAACTTCTTCAATCTTCCGTCTATGTAAAGAAACCTTAATTCGATAATTATATTGTATCAATTATTCATGATTCTTTGATAGAACCCTTCGTGCGCCTTTGGAACGATATTCTGTTTTACGATTGGATCTAATCATAAACTTCTGTCTACTCGGCTGTCTCTTTCATGTCAAATTTAAAGTTATACTTGGTTTTTCTATATTTTGCTGGATTTTTGTTTCTCGTCGTAGAATCATAATACTTGCTGCGTCTGACGTAAGCGATATGCTTGAAAAAAAAAAGCCAATCGATTCCCGAGTAATTATTTAACTCGACATGAGAGCACTGTTCCTCTCTTATCAGTTAGCACTTATCGTTCAATTCACGTCGATATCCGAACGGAATAGTTAGCGGCGAAGACCAGCATAAAATTATATCCCGATTGTTCCGACGCGGCGAAACTGTTACGTGCAATTTATGTGGTAATCGGCATCGATTCGTTACGCACAACACGCAGTGCACTGCTGCGTCTCGCGTTATCTTGGGTGGCCGCACAAGAGTGATCGTCGTGTTTTCTGAAAAAAAAAACGGCTCCCTTACGACGACGAGGAAGCCGTCACATTTTCGATTCTTCGACGTTATGCGACGTCGTTACGTTATCGTGACATCTGCGGCTTAAGCGCGATGATTAATTAATTTCAGGTGTGGGCAATTGTGACTAATTATTGGGATCGCGATCCGTTAATGCGTTTTCCTTTAGCGACGACCGTGTTTGCGTGAAATTTATGATTCCGCTGTCATCGAACGATTTTACGGCTCAACGCGTTGATAAACATCCAACGCGAAATTGCAGCGTCGTGTTCGCGCTGAAAAATGATTTTTCTCACTCTCGAACGCTCGAATAATAACATCACATTAATAGGAAATTAATATTGACTAATTTGCACGGTACTGCGGGGATAATGATTGTTCTCTTGATTTGTCAGTGTGAATTTCTAGATATTTACGCGCAATTTTTAGCGTGTTACGATATCGTTTGAAAAGTGGATTGTAAAACTTTTAGATCGTAAAACGCGTGTGCGTGCGCGTGTCGTTGCACAATGAGTACGAACACACATTTCTAAATTACTCTTTTATCTTATTTCGTCAGATTTTCAGAAAAGTTTTAATTGGCTATTTAATCTCCGGATGCGTTATTTATCATTAATCGCGCGTGAAAAAAATTCTCACGAAGATATGTGAAATTTACTAATCCGTATGTAAATCAGGTGCAATCAGGTGTTTGGCTTCCTGTAGTTGGCGCTCGTTAGTCGCAGTTTTCGAGGTCACGACGGTGGAGCAAATGAGCGACCACTCTATGCGAATCCATTTCATCAACCTTTCGCGCGAGTTTCATATTTAACGTTCTCATGCAACTCGTGTAGAGCGTTCGATCTGTTCTCAGGAGGTCGCGCGTATACGCCGCGCCCGACACCTCCGTCCTCACGTGTCGCCTTAATTAAGCGGTTTAGGGCGCGCGAAGATCGTGCATACTTCTGTAATGTGAAGCATTTACCGCGCCAACGCGCGCGTTCACTGACATTTAATAAATGTGAACAGCGAGGCTGTATACGGTACGCGCGACAGACAACTTGCGACGAACGATTTCCTCAGCAATTGGCGATTCTCGCTCGAGTCGCTCGATATATCAATATCCGACTCTTCAGAGAGGCCTAGCTCGTTAAATCCGCGATGAGATGGGATTTCAGGACACGATTTGAGAAACGCTGCTGTGGACGTCTTGCGCGCACGTCCTACGCAGACCGAAAGCGGCTCTCTTATCAGCCCCCCCCCTTCTCCTCTTTCCTTCCCCTCGTCTCGCCGACCACCGTCGTGCAACTTCTCGTCCCTATCGCGAATGTATCCTCGACACATTTATCGCGCACTTAACGCGTATGACGTGCTCTCGCTCGCTCGTATTAAACACCATGCCGTTTACTATGCATGGTGATAAGTCGTAGCCGACGGTATCGCCCGCGGTAATCGGCCGGCTTGTAAAACTTACAATGCGGCAGCGTATTATGAAATCCGATCCATTCTGTAAGGCTGTATACTTACCGCACCGAGCTTGTTGAACGAACCTCGCCGTATTCACGCGTCTCTATCTTTTTTCAGGCGCGCACAGAAATCCTCTCTTGTTCCGCGGATGCTCGAGGGACAGAACTTTGCGAGAAATTCTCCGAAAATCTTCGCGAAATCACGGTAACAGAGCTTATTGGCATACGTATCGAGCGTAGGCGGTTTAAGGAATTTCCAAATCACGGCCGATGTACGTCGACCTTCGGCGTTATGCCAGGTTCAAGATCGACCAAACCCTACTAGGCCTATAAGGGTGAAACTTCAGAAAGAGAGGGAGAGAAAAGGAGAGAATGTGTGTACCTTTTCCGTCTGACTTCCGAAGGTGATTGTTTGAGACGCGATGAAAAAGTCGACGTTTTATTCTCGGTTGAATCTCAACTCGTGACAAGAGTCGGTGCGAGAGAATCGGCAGGAAAGTGTGGACTGGCGCTAAAATTAAAAGTTAAAACGAGAGAGAGAGAGAGAGAGATGTCGGGATCCGACGGAAATCTCGCTGGTACTGCTTCTTCTCGAGCGTGCTTTTTCGTTGCCTTGTATACTCGAAGAAATACTCAGTTAGCGACCGATTTTGCCCATCAAGGACGCCTCTCGCACGCAACGGCGATGCACAGTGATTACGCCGGTTACGTGAATAATTACCCTCAATATTCGCGGTGTGTTAACGAAGCCGCGGCGGTGGCGATAATAGCGTGAACGGCTTGGCCACGCTTATTTCCATCGCTGAATTGGCAATTTACGCGAGCGCGTGCGGATCGCCAGAAGCTCTTTCGGCGACGTCGGGATTCCCGGTGCTGAGAGACGTTGCGGAGGCATTCCCTCGGCCGAGATCCGTCTCAGTTGCTGGCGCGTCG